TGAGTCCAGGTATTCCAGGACAGAGGGTAATTAGAAGGTGACATGGAAATGGGAAATTCTGACTAATTAGAGAAAATTGTGACTGGTTAGAGTCAATGAATAAGGTAGAGGGATGCAAGAGGAAGCTAATGTAGACTCTATACAATAATAGACAAAACAAAGGTGAATCGGATATCATACGAAGAGTCTCTTATTTCTCTTAAGAGACTCAAACCCCATTAATCGTATGAATATACAAACTTGTCTTTTATAGACAAATTACAGATGACAATAATAGAAACTAAATCACAAAAACTTAAAACTATACCCAGACTTAACATAAAGTACATATACTCTACTAATCATTTTTATATATATTGATTGCAATATATACTTTCTTTATTAAACTGATCTACAAAATATACTTTTTTTTACACATTGACCTGATAGATTCGAAGTGGGGGCCCTTTTAAGTGAAAAAAATAGAGAGGAAAGAATGGGTATGCTGATAATATGCAAAACCTTTAGTATTTTTAATTTTTTTTTTAAAATGAGAAGCACTTTAGTGTTACTTTTCCTAAAAATTATGAGTTCAGGTACGTAGTACAAAGGTCATAAGAAATTGGTTTTCTTATAATATAACGAGAAGATATTTTAAGTGAATAACTTATAACTCACTAATACTTATGAAGTAATTTATAAGCATCATTATATTAGTGTTGTATCAGGGCTTTGGAAAGGGTGCCGTATTTGCAGAGAGAAGTTACGAGTTATTTATCCTACATCCGGAACAGGGTAACGAAAGTTATGTTTAAATATAAAAATATTTATGGAACTTGTGTTATAAGAAACCAAAGTAGAGAATGCCTATGTAGAGCATGTGAAGCACCCACGCTTTCTTTCGCTTTGCGGCAAAGCCACTAGTGGGATAAGGGCCATCTCCTATAATGTGTCTCCAGTAACTTGGTGCGCTCCAGTATATTTCATGGAATGTGGGTGCAGTAATTTGGTGCACTCCAGTATCTTGGAGCCCCACTGGTGAAAGATGTGATGATTTTTTTGGAACCCAAAGAGACACGATGATTTTTCGAACCCAAAAAGACACCATGTGACTTACATAGCATGTTGGTCACAACAAATGTACCATTTTAAAGATTTTGTGTTTTGCGTTTCTCTCTAGAAAGAGGAAACTCTCTAAGATTCTAGATCTTGCACTAATTATACAGTTATATTAGTGAGATAGTTTTTCAATCATATACTTTCTTGTATCCCATGAACAAATCAGTAAGTAGGCAAATATTGTGATAGTGATTTATTCATATTCGGAAATAGAGAGATTAAAGTTCCTAATTACTTTCAGAACAAAAAGTAGTAATATCTTCCCCTATATGTCCAGATTCACCTACCATTTCCAATACTAAATAGGGCCGGCGATAGCCTAGGTGGGACAACAGGGCATGGTTGATTGTGAAATATTATAGCCCAAGACACAATATGTAGCCCAAGGGCCCGGCTTGGGCTGGCCCTGTAGGAACCAGGTTTGAGCTACCGTTAGGGCTAGTTTGCAAGCCCGGCCTACTTGCAACCCATTTGTGGCTCTGTAGTTGTTAGAAATCCTACTGCTCAAAATGTGGTAAATACTTGTTTTTGAAGTCTACAACATTGTTTGCAAAACAGGCCGGTTTGAACCGGAACCGGTCGGTTAGATCGGAACCGTTAGGGTTCCGACTCTGGTTGGGGTTGGTTTTGGGGTACAAGTAGCTTAAGGAACACCCCCAAAAAATTTTCGGCATAAAACCGGTCGGTTAGAGGTCAAACGACCATTTTTTAGTAGAACTGGCCGAGTTTACGCTAACCGGACCGGTTAGACTATATAATGGGCGTTTTTACGAAATAACGGTACTGTACCCGTTACGGTTGTTACTTTGAAATGGTGGCCGTTATTTGTAGTAGGCATTCTTGAATCCAAATTTTCATTTTTTTTTATTCGTTTTTTTGCTTTTTTTTTTTTTTTTGTCTTTTTTATGATTTATTGCTCTAAATCACTATCTAGAATATATAAAACAAGAATTTGGATTGAAACATCTGAAAAAAAAAAAAAAGATTTTTTTTGGATTGAAATGGCAGACTTTTTAGGTTTTTGAAAATTTCCATCATTCTTTCAATAATCTATTCAATACCTAATGGTTCTTGAAGAAATTTGGTGGGTTTGATAGATAATCCAAGTATTTATCATATTCATGTTTAAATTTATTAAAAAAACCAAATATTATGGGTTGATTTTGGTCCGAAATGCTGCTGCTCAAAGAACATATGTTCGATAAAAAAACATAGATTTTTGATCAATTTATTGATCGTTTTTTATCAAATTAAATTGTGTATTTTGATCATCAAAGCTTGATCTCCCAAATAAAATAGGTATGTCTATTTATGATTGATTAAATGTTTTTATTTTTATTTTTTGTTGCACCATATCATGAAAATTTCATAGATCTGAGATTTTCGCCATTAAAAATACCAACTATTTTTTGATGAGATTTGGATCCTTATTTATTCGATTATCCAAACATTGATGGTCGTTTGTTGGTCGAAATGTTGCTCGATTTTAGGGGGTTTTTGATAGATCGATTTTTTTAAAAATTTTTTTTTTTAATAAAATTATATATTTTGATAAATATGGGAAGTGTTTTTCTATTTTGCTTAGTAAAATTATTTTTAATAGGTTTATAATTTTTAATAAAATTATTTTTTTTGATGAATATGGGAAGAGTGCTTTTCTATTTTGCTTAATCAAATTATTCTTTTTGATAAAACTATTTTTTTTTTATGAAATTGATTCTTCTTTATTGATAAGTGTATGATAATGTCGCTCGATATTTTGCTCAATTTTTTTAATTATGTTTTTTTAAGTGCATGATATAGTTATATTTGTAATAATGGAAATGTGACATTTTGTTTTTTTTAAGTGCATGCCAAACTCTGGTTGCCTTATGTTCAATGAAACTCTACACCATCATCTTATATGTGCAGTTCTTCTCTCTTACTTTTTTTTTTTTGTTTTTTCCAATTTTCTTTCAAAGTTTTTGGAATGTTATGGAAAGAGTCTTTAAAAGATCAGCCGATTTTTAATAAATCGGCCGACTAACTAGGGATCGGTCACTGGGCGATCCCGATCTGGTCCGATTCCACAAAAAGAGAGCGAGCGAGAGAGAGAGAGAGAGAGAGAGAGAGAGAGAGAGAGAGAGAGAGAGAGAGAGAGAGAGAGAGAGAGAGAGAGAGAGAGA